GCAGGGTAGGGTGTGTGTGTGTGTGTGGGGGGGTCGGGTGCATCGCCCGGCCATGGTGTGGGGCGGGTGGGGGATCTGCTCTTCCAGATGCTCTTGGACAACAAGTCCCATCGGTCCTGGCCAGACTAGTCAGGGATACGGGGAAGTAGGAGTGACACCCGGAGGGTGGGGGTGGGGGAACATCTGGGGATCTATCTTTTCCTTCTCAGGGTGTGTGTGTGTGTGTGGGGGGGTCGGGTGCATCGCCCGGCCATGGTGTGGGGCGGGTGGGGGATCTGCTCTTCCAGATGCTCTTGGACAACAAGTCCCATCGGTCCTGGCCAGACTAGTCAGGGATACGGGGAAGTAGGAGTGACACCCGGAGGGTGGGGGTGGGGGAACATCTGGGGATCTATCTTTTCCTTCTCTCTTCTGCCTTTCTAATCTTCCTGCTTGTTTAACCCATATTTTTGTTTAAAGCTCTTGTCTCCCAGGATCATTTCAACTCGGGCTCCCATCAGCCCCAACAGCTGGGGATGATAAAAAATGTAGTTTGTGACAGCTGGAGAAAACCCCAGGCTGGAGGGAAGCCGATTTATCTGGATGCCTCTTCTCTCCTCTCTAATCTGATCTAGTTCAGCTGTCTGAGCCACTGTCCTTTCTCCTCCCCCCTTGAATCTTTCTGTCTCCGCCCAGGGCGTGGGAGCGATGGGATCTGGTGGACCAACAGAACCCATCAGGCAAGACTGGGCCGGGACGGCCCTCCAGATGTTGGTGGGCTACATGACCCATCAGCCCTGCCCCGCATAGGTGAGGCATTCTGGGAGTTGTAGTCCGTCGCCAAGGACCGGCATGCAAATCCCCTCCCCTTCCCGCCTGTTCTGATGAAGGATGATGAAAACCATCTCTGATCTTCTCTTCGCATTGTGAATCTCCTTGGTTTGCCCCCGTGGAGTCGGAGAGGAGCTAAGTTTTCGCACCTCGCTCACCTTACCGGAAAGCACCCTTAGTTAAGGAAAGCGTAGCAAAAAATCTCCACAATTTCCCAACGCAAGGAAAAAGATCATCAACACTTCAGGCTAAGGATCTCAAACCGAGGGTCCTGTCCAGGAGGGTTGGAGCAAAGAGCACGAATTTAGCTCCTCTCCGGCTTTTTTGGGGGGGGTCACGTTGAATAAATCCTCACACCCCAGATAGGAAGGCCGAGGTCTCCATGTGAGGTGGAGGGTTCGAAGCCTGCTGCCACAGCACCATCATCTCATATTTTCTTGTCCGTAGGTGCCGAGCAGCCAGAGAGACGGGTCGCCACTAAGGTCCGCCTGAGGGTGCCTGGGTCACCCAGCCTCTTGAGGCAGGCGTGTGAGGAGAAGTTTTAAAAAAACAAAATACCAGGAGTCTTGTAACATTTAAGATTAATGTGAAAAGCCCAGAGGGAGGGGGGGAACGCAGCTTCCAAACAGCTGCTTGAACATCATGTGGGCTGGAGAGTTACTGGGATTGATCTTGGGTTGTTGCTTTTTTAAAAATGGATGGATGGATGGATGGATGGATGGATGGATGGATGGATGGATGGATGGATGGATGGATGATGGATGTGTGGAGGGATGGGTGGATGGATGGATGGGGGGTGAGTGGATGGATGGATGGATGGATGGATGGATGGATGGATGGATGGATGGATGGATGGATGGATGGGTGGATGGACAGACAGATGGATGGACGGATCTTATGTCCAGGCTACCTGAAGGACCGTATCTCCCCATAGGAGCCTTCTCGGCTTTGAAGATCATCAGAGGACAGCTAGTGGGGACACAAGACGAGGCCTCCTCCAGGGCAGCGCCTATGTTATGGAAGGCTCTCCCTTGGAAGGTCAGGTTGGCCATTGTCCCTTCTGTCCCTCCGCCGGACCATAAAGAAAGCTGACCGCCGAAGAATGGATGCTTCTGAATTGTGGTGCTGGAGGAGGCTCTTGAGAATCCCCTGGACTGCAAGGAGAACAAACCTATCCATTCTGAAGGAAATCAACCCTGAGTGCTCACTGGAAGGACAGACCCTGAAGCTGAAGCTCCAATACTTTGGCCATCTCATGAGAAGACTCCCTGGAAAAGCCCCTGATCTTGGGAAAGTGTGAAGGCAAGAGGAGAAGGGGACAACAGAGGATGAGATGTTTGGAGAGGGTTACCAAAGCGACCAACATGAATTGGACCCAACTCCGGGAGGCAGTGGAAGACAGGAGGGCCTGGCATGCTCTGGTCTATGGGGTCACGAGGAGTCGGACACGACTAAACGGCGATCCTTCTGCCGACAGCTGGAGACCCACCTTTTCAAGCAGTCTTTTGACACCCCCCCAATGCCTTTTTAAAGTTTAGCGTTAGTAATGTTTACTTGCTTTGAATTATTCAATTGTATTTTAATTAGCATATAGGTTTTTTTTTACCTTTTGTTTTTTAACTCTGTTCATAATATTGCGACCCACTTGAGATCCCCTTATCCGGCCAAAGGCGGCCTATAAATAAAACAAACACTTAAAAATAGATAAATAATAAATACATGGCACAGGGAATATTCTTTCCTAGCCAGGGCTGTATCCTTCTGACCTCTATCTCTCTTCTTGACTGCTCCGGGCTTGGGGAAGCGAGAGGAAAAGCTTTATTACAATATAGTGTATATATATGCGTGTTCAGAATATAAATTTCACATCACGTTGGCCCGGATCATCCGGCATGAGAGTCTGTCTCCTTTCGGTCTCCAGATTTATGAATTGTGACGTACAAGTTTGCCTTTTAGCTAGTTTGTGGGAATTTGGACTCCTAGGTTCCGGACGCAGCCGGAGAAGGGCTGCCAGGCAGACGGGGAGAATGTGTGGAAAAATTGAGACGGATGCAGGAAATCAGCAAACCGAGTCACGAAGGCGGTGGTTTCCCCCTTGCCAAGCTGAAGAGTGCAGTGAGAGTCTGCAGTCCTATACAGTTAGCGAAGATGGGTACCTTTTGAAGAGTGCAGTGAGAGTCTGCAGTCCTACACAGTTAGCGAAGACGGGTACCTTGGCATTATTTCATAATGTCTTAGCAGAGCGCAGTAGCTGGAATGGTGGCTAATGGAAAGAATCGTGAGGCTGAAAATAAGTAATAAAGCAAAATAGGGGAAACGTATTTACTTCCATAGGAAATCTCTTTAGGGATAGTGCTGGAGGTCATCACACCTAAACTCATATACAGAAGCCTCTAAGATTGGCTTCTATGGGTCTCAGGTGGCTGACACCCACTTCTCGGAGGAGAATCCTTTCCGAATCTTAGTCTTTGCTCCTGATATCCATGTTTTAGAATAGATGATTTCCAGGGCCCAGGCTGTACCCCAAAATCTCAAACGCTGGAAGCCGTTTCATAGGCTTTTATTTTACTTTGCAGTGGAAAGCCACAACTTTAGCAGAGAAGGCGGGAAAATTCACAGACTCCCTTCCCCCCCCCTTGATGGGGAAAACAAATGCAAAAATTGCAGATTTCACGCTTTCACGACACCCCAAAAGCTGCTTCGTCAGAAGGCCGGCCTCCATCATCCTCACGGTCGAGCCAGGCCTGAGAAACACGGAGAGCAAAGGGAATTTTGGATGCGAAAGCTCTCAGCCGAGGGTAAATTTCTGTTTACTTTATCATGAGTTGGAATAAATGCCCGGCATGTTAAGATAAATCTGTTAGTAAGCGAGTCATAAGGTGCTGGTGGCCAAGATTACAGAACCCGTTTCCTTGAAGGAAAAACAGCTGTCTTTTCTCTGGCCTTCAAATAAGGCTCTCCAGGGCTGGCCCGGTTTGTTTTAATTATTCTCCTGCTGTTGTGGTTTCTTTTTGTTTGTTTGCGGCTGTTGCTTTTAGCTCTCGGTTGTTAAGTGTATCTTATGGCATCCGTTTTCATTTGTTTTTATTCTTGTGGTCCACGGCGCGGAGAGCGCGGTGCAAGAAAAGCACACAAAGAAACAAAAAATCATTTTTTTTTCTTTTAGAAGTTCGGTACTTTGTCGTGTCAAATGAGGGATCTATTTTTTTTTCCCTGTCCTCAACATCTTTATCAGGCTGCTTCTGTTGTTGTTTTTTTTCCACTTGGAAAATGAGTTTATGCATGTGTTGTGTTTCAGATGTTCAATGGCAAAATTGAGGAAAATGGGTCCTTTTCTGGATATCCTGTAATGGCTAGAAAGACAGACGAGTGGGTCCTTGATCAAATCAAGCCTGAACTGTCTCTGGAGGCAAAATACGTTGAAACTGAGGCTATCCAACTTTGGGCACCTCATAAGGAGGCAGGAATCTCTGGAAAAGACCATTGTGATGGGAGAGGTAGGAGAAAGCAGGAAATGAGGAAGACGAAATATGAGATGGATCAACGCCCTAAAGTACGCCACGGGCTTGAGTTAGCAGGAAATGAGGAAGACGAAATATGAGATGGATCAACTCCCTAAATTACGCCACAGGTTTGAGATTTTGCAAGAGCTGAGCAGGGCAGTTGAGGAGACGGCATTCGGAAGAGCGCTTGCTCATAGGGTCAGTATAAATCAGAGGCGACTTGATAGCATACAATAATAACAATGGTCCTTCCCTACAGCAAGAAAATGTAGGAAAACCAGAGGAAGACGAAATATGAGATGGATCAACTCCCTAAATTACGCCACAGGTTTGAGATTTTGCAAGAGCTGAGCAGGGCAGTTGAGGAGACGGCATTCGGAAGAGCGCTTGCTCATAGGGTCAGTATAAATCAGAGGCGACTTGATAGCATACAATAATAACAATGGTCCTTCCCTACAGCAAGAAAATGTAGGAAAACCAGCCATTCCCTGCAAGAGGAAAAACATCGGCCCACATGACGCCACTGCTGAGAAATGAGAAACGAACCTTAGCACATATGCAGGACCATCAATCCAGGATTGACTGACGGGCAATAAATAAGTTAAATCAAACGTTGCAAAACGCCCGTGTGAGATGGAGAGTCAGTTACTTACACACATGGGGAGTCTGTTTTAAAATGAAAAATAAATAGGCCATTAAAAAGAGGGTGTCACCCTCCGGATCCCCAAAACTGAGTGCTTCTGTTCGAAATCAACTCCGCGCTGCAGCATTTTGTTGCAGGTTCGACCAAACCGAACACGCAAGACCCCCACCGGCTGGCTTTCTCCATGGAAAAAGATTCCTCCCGTCTCAGAAACCCGTGTTTCCACATATCTCTTTATCTTTTCCAGCCAGCGCTGGCTAGCCCCACAGAAGCTGGTCTTTTCGCTCCATTCCTCGGATGAACATCCGGGAACTGAGCTGAAGGTCAAGTTGCTCCTTGCTGGCAAATAATTCTTTTTTTTGGTCCCTGTTTCTTAAAGCTGTTCGCTGGTGGCCATTCAATAGAACGACCCGCTCGTTTCCCTAGCAAAACCTCCACAGGTAAGAGCAGTGTATCTGAGAAGCCCCATTTGCCACAAGGCGGCCAGCTCAGCCGGCCAAAGTTGGGGAGCAGCAAAGACAGCCCTCACAGGTTCTCCCCAAAATCCCCAGCCCCCCCTCTCTCCTGTTGGATCTCCAAACTGGTCTCCCCAGGCTTGGTGGGGAACACTGCCTTGTCCCCTCCCCCATAGGCTGGGGATGACGTGAGAAAGTCTGGCAAATTTTACTCCGTTTTTACTCCTGCAGATTGAGGGATTTCTTTACTCTGAAAAAGAACCGGGTGGCCTAGAGATGAGAAAGTACATTTTTTGACCTTGCGAGAGTGGCCAGCTGCCCCTTCCAATCCTCACTCGGGCATCAAAATGCCAAAATGCGGACTCGCCATGGGTCCGCAGCACTAGCTCACACACCCCTCTAAGCATTTCCGTACGGCAACACAACCCCAAAGTCGGTTTGAGCGCCAACTACGTTTGCAAGCAGCCTGCCATGATTCCCTGGAGAGCTAGATTATTTCCTGCGGGGAGGCGGGGAAGAGAACCCCCAGGAGTAATAATGATGAAGGCTGGACCTTCATCTAAGACAGCCGCCACCCGCCTTCCCCTTCTTCACTTGACAAACCGCAACCCCGTTTGCCTCTCGTTTAGAGTCTACCGATTTCATCATCATCGCATGCTGTTCCACAAAAGGTGGATGTTGGCTGCCAGGGTTGCCATGGCGACCGCATCCAGGTAGCGCTCTGCAGCACAGCAACGGAAGGCTGAAGGAGGGCATCCTGCTGGTTGAGGTCAAAGAGGACACGGGAAGACTCCTGGGGAGGCCCTCCTAACTCCCAGCACCGAGAGAATATTCCGGTATACGGAAAATCCGGGTTCAATCACTCAGCATCCCCTGTTTTCCAAAGACCCTTTTGGTTACCCAGACTAGAGAAGCCCCTTTTGAGAATTTGGGCCTCTGTCCATTCAATCAGGCAAGAGGAAGACGAGGCCGGATGGAGCAATGGGTTGAGCAATACGCTGGCGACTCCCACTCCAGGGGTTCTGGGAATCCATTCCGGGTTTTATCCTTCCCCTTTTACAGGAGTTATCCAACATCTGGCACCCATTTGGGAGATTGAAGCTGAGCCCCCTGAATGGAACAACTCTTGTAACGCCTAAAACCTGGAGCGGATTCATAGCGACTCCGAAACCAGACTCGCTGGCTGTCACCTGGGGGATTTTGGAATCTGTAGTCCGAAATCATCCTTTCTCCAAACACTGGCTACTCCAGTGTGTTTGGTAACCTGAATGCCGGTTGTAATGCACAGGATCTTGACTATCAGTGAAGACGGCCATCCAACAGGCGAAGCCCCAGTAATTTAGAGCTCCAACATCCTCATCCCATCAGCCACCTCCATCTTAGACTCCAAATAAAGGAAGGGGAGTGGGGGGGGGGAATCGCAATTCCTTATCAGGCTTTAAGGAACCTTCATCTGTGCATTGCTCCTTGGTGGAGTTATATAAGACCCCCTTCTGCGTGCCCTATATAATCTCCTTAGCCACCCTGTTTGGCCAGAAAGCAGGATCAAGAGGGGCGGGGATTACAGACAACAGCTGGACCGGCGAGCCGAACAGCAGCTGGATTGAAGCCTTCTGCAACGAAGGGGCCGCCTGGCCGGACGAGGAGCCAGGACAGACGACGGTCGCCCGAGGCGAGCTTTCGGAACGAAGAGACAGAGGGACACCAGAGGCAGAAAGTCTGGATAATGACCCGGCAATAGTAGGGAGGTGTAAATTTGGAAGTAAAGGCACTCATTCTGATTTCCACCCCGCCCCGGGTCGGCTTTGGCACAATGAGAGTCTAAACACGCAGCTGGCTGGACCGGTCCTAACAAATAAGGAGCGGGTCTTTTGTAGAGGGAATGGCTCTTAATTGTTCTTGCGAGACCCCCCATCTCACAAGGTCTGATTAAGCCACTTCTGATCTGGGGGGGGGGAACTTAATGGTGTTTCTGGACTACATAAGCCACCCGTCCCTCCGGCAGACCGAGGCACCTGCCTCAGGCAGCAGAACCCAGGGGACGACAAAAAAAAACAACCCACCGCTCTAGTTAAGGTCCTCGTTCGCCTCCTCTTGGTCTGCAACAAAACCCAGCCAGCAGTCCCCCTAAACTGAATCGCCATCCTCTGTGCTCAAGAGAGATGACTTCTGGGGGAACTACGAGGCCCATCATCCTCACACACTTTAATATTTGATAGGGGCTGGACTTGATTCTATAGGGTCTCTTTCAGCTCTGCAATTCTAAGATTGTTATGGCTATACTACCCTATTTAGTCTTTAATTTTAATAAATAAATAAAGTATTCAATTTAAAAGGTTTTAAATGACTTTACTTGTATACTGCACTGGGGTGTGTTCCACTGTAAACTGCTTAGCTATATAGATATATATCTATATTTGCATCTTGTGTTACATAAACAAAAAGGGCTTTACCACATTTCCTTCCAGCCTTGATTTCTTGAAAGGGGCTTAAAATTAGGTTTCCATTAAAGCGATCCTTTCGTGCATTTCCATTTGGGTCTTCCAGAGCAGCTCAGAATCTCAAAGAAAATGTTATTCAGATAAGATGGTAAAAGCTAAAAATAATAATAAAAACCAACAAAAAAATGAACTCTGAATGCTGGGAAAGACAGGATGCTAAAAGCTATGGTTATTATAATAATCGCTTTATAAAAACGGCAGCCGACGCCATTTGAAAGCTGCCCAAATAAAAATATTTGGATTTTTTTTCTTTTAAACACCCTCAGAAGGCTTGATGAATTTTTGGGGGCTGGGGTTGCCACCTTCCAGGCGACCCCGCTTCGTGTTCTCACATGCTCAGTGTCTTGGGATCATCCTCATCATCATCTTGGAACGACAGAGCTGGAAGGGACCAGATGGGCCACAGAGTCCAGGACGGCCTAGTGGGGGAATTCGAACTCTCAACCTCCCCCCAAAAAAGCCAGGCAGGTTTCAATGGGGCACAAAAGCACATCAACCTCTCTGTTGCTGTTTCGTGCCACCCAAAAACGGCCGCCCGAGGCCACTGCTTCCCTACGCTTCACGGTAGGGCTGGTTCCTGCCCCCCAGAGCCCCATACGCTCACCAAATCCCAACCATCGGCTCTGTTGCTGCCAAGAGGGTATTACAAAGGCAGATCTTTCTACTTACAGAGACAGATAATCTCCCAGCGCGGGGATACAGCGAGCATCATTCTGACGGAGGGCTCGGTGGCCTGGCTTTCGAGCAAAGAAGAAGGGCCCCATTTTTTACAAACGTAGGGCGTGGAACGTGAAGCAACTGTCCTGTTCTGGAAGCGCTCGGACAATAAATAAATAAATATCCCAAAAAATGTGGGGTGGGGGAGCTGTTGTGGTCTGGGCCAGGGGCGGGGGTGAGGAAGAACAGCAGGGCAGCAGGAATGCTGTAGCACAACAGCGCCACCACGATGTCTGGCCAGAAAGGGTATTGCAATGCTTAAATGCAGATGTGATCGGGAGACCCAAGCAACCAGCCAAGTTGCCAATGGTCACAGATCACTTCCTATTCCCCCTGGCGCAATTCTTGCATCTAGGGGTCTCCGGGTTAAACTGGTTTGTTTATGGGATGCCTTAGAAACCCCGGAAAGGGGGGGATCCATTTCTTCACTACTTCTGAAAGACTGTGAAAACCGTGTGCAAATTTTAAGCTCCGAAAGAGAAGCCTGGTTTTCGTACAAAGTGCCACAGCGCTCAACTCCCACTTCCCGGAACAAAGGCTGGCACAAAATAAACCACGTCCTTGTCCAGGGGACAGGAAAGGCAGGGGAAGAGTGGCAGATATCGAAACAAGCCTCGTGCCGGCTGGATGGAGGCTACGGAGCCCATTAATTCCGCAAATCAGACGGACTTCTGTCCCTCCATAAATGGGACCCGACGCCAGCGAAGAATGGGAGAAAAAGAAAGCGGAACTTCCTCCTCCTCCTCCTCTCCGCCTGCCGCAGGTCGTCCCCCCTTTGCAAGGAGGGGCCAAACGTCCTGAGCACTTTGGAGAGGGCTTTTGGGAATTGAGAGCCACCGAGGTCAAGAACGGAAGCTGGGGAAGAAGACCAGAGAGGCAGGCAACGGATGTAAACAATCAGACGCTTTTATTGTGAGCGCCGCCACCTTTCTCTCCCGTGGGAGGAGAGGACGCGGCGCGCCTCGGGTTCAGCAAGAAATGGCATCAGCCGGCGGTTACTCCACTCGGCAGGGAGGGCAGAAAGATACTGTATATATGCAGAGCTGACTCCTGGCTTCTCCTCCAAATCCCATCACCTGTCCTGGGACGTCTCGGTTTTAAACTCCGTTTGGTCTGGGTTGCCAGCATCATTTCCCCACCGAGGCTCCTCCGCCCTTCCCACTAAGGTCCCTACGGGAGACTTAACGATATAAAACGTAGCCTTTGTCAGAAGAGCAGCATTACAGGAACGAAATCTCACGAGCTCCCCCTTGGTCCCTGAGGTCGCTGACCTTACCCCGCTTTCCTGTTCTATAGCCCTCGAGAAGCATAGGAGCCTTCCTCAATAAAGGAGTTGGCCACATCGTATCTGAATTAAGGACGTGGCAAGGATTTCCAGAAAGGCGAGCAGGAGGGGGAGAAAAACAGGGCTGAATCAGGCCCGTGGAGAGATAGAGAGCGCTGTGAATAAGGCACCGCAGTTCACCACCATCATCAGAAGGTGGGTGGATTTATAACAGAAAAGGAACCAGAAATGAGATTATTCCCATCAAGGATTTGGGGGGGTGGGGTGGGGGGAACTGGTTGTATCTGGAAAGGGTCTGGTTTTTTCCACGCTCCAACTAGTGGCCACTGGCAATCCCCTAAGGAACTGGATCAAACTGCTTGGAATTAAGCAAGAAGGCTGTAGGCGGGCGAAATTAGGAAATAAGATCATTAGGAAGAGCACAGCAAAAGCGTTGTTCTGCCCCCTGGTGGCCAAAGGCCGCAAGCGTTTAAATGACAGCCCAAGAGGCCGAAGCGGAAGAGGCGTGTGTAGAACGGAGGGCATGACCACCAAAGCCAAAGTGGAACGAAAACCAAGAGACCCATACATTTCTGTAAAATAGGACACGATGCCAGGCAAGTCCGGGGGTCAGATGCATGTATAAACGGGCACTGGATTATGGCACCAGCTGGAATGGATTGTCCAGACGCCTATAGTGGTACCATCAGGAGCACACGCCCCATCATGCTTTGCCCCAGGCCAGCATCCCCACACAGCTGTTTCCGGCATCTCTCCAGATGCAACTGCTGGCGTTTCGGCCCCAGGTTTTTCCCGAAAGCGGCGTGGGGGGGGGGGCAAGGGGACGGGCTGGAGGGGGCTGGCGACGGTCAGCCCCGGGCCGTCCTACAGTTTGCTCTGGACAAACTCCATCAGGGTCTCCAGCTGGGTGTCGAAAGAGAGCAGGTCCCCGTCGTTGGTGATGACCCAGTCGTACGTCACGCCGTGGTCCAGCCCGCATTCGGACTCCGCGTCGTCTATTCCTGAGGAGGGGAGAGAGAAGGAATAGACCAGATGCCAGTCGGGAAGTCTGCCTGAGGAGGGGTGTGCAGGCATAACCCTTACAAACTAGCCCAGCGAGTGGAGAAACTCTTCATTCCAGGCGTTCTAGCGGATGACAGACCCACCGAATTTTCGCTCGCCTGGAGAAAGGCCTAGCTCCGGCCTAGCTTCCTGTTCAAACAGGAAATGCACAGACTCCTAGGCTAAAGCTAGGCCTTTCTCCAGATGAGCGAAATTTCGGTGTCCGTAGGCACAGGTAAACAGGGAGTGGTGCGGGTTAAACCGCCGAGCCACTGGGCCTGTTGATCGGAAGGTCAGCAGTTCGAATCCAGCTCCTGCCATCCTCGCAGTTCGAAAGCATGCAAACGCGAGAAGATGAACAGGGACGACCTCGGTGGGAAGATAACAGCGTTCCATGTCTAGTCATGCCGGCCACGTGACCACAGAAAGTGTCTACAGAAAAACACCAGCTCTTCAGCTAATGAACTTCAGCCCCTTACGAGTTGATGGATTAGAATCTGGACTCCGTTGACTCAACCCTCAAGGCTGGCTTTGTTTAAAAACACCTTCATCGAAGCCGCCTCCGTTTCATTCCTTGTCAAGAGGGCTAGGAACTTGATTCTTTCCAAAAGCCCCAGGCCTTTCACAGAACGGCGCGTTGCACAGGAAAATAAAAGTGACGCAGGCTGGCCCGCTCCCGACAACACGTACCTGCGACGAAGACCCAGTCCCGCCGTTTCCGGGTCTCCTCGGTGGCAACGACACGGACGAGCTGGACCACGTCCCCGTACACGTCACGGAACCACTCCACGTCCGAGAGCCGCCTCGTGTCGCTCACTAACTGCAGGGTTAAGACGAGGGGAAAAAAGTCAAGGCACATCAAAAGGCGGGAGAGGTGGGTTCGGATAAAGTACGTCGTGCCCCCAGGAGACGAGTCGACTTACCCAGACCGGCTGCGTGACCCCTTCCGCCACGATCCGGCAAAAAAATCCGGGGTCGTTCCTGCGCTGCTCCTCCCCCCAGCGGATCATGTCCTTCCGATAGGTTTCCTTGTAGTCGCTGGCGTCCAAAAGACGCTGGAAATCCAACCCGTGTTCCTGCGGGCGGGAAAAGCACGCCTATAGTCCCGTTCCAATGCCCGCCCCGATAAAACCCGACATAAATCCTAATTAATTCGCTCCGTATGGGTGCCTGCTATGGTGTAGCGGATAAAATGGCGGACGAGCACTCCAGCGTTCGAATCCCCGCTCAGCCAAACAAAAGCACGCCTATCGCTCCGTTCCAATGCCCGCCCCGATAAAACCCGACATAAATCCTAATTAATTCGCTCCGTACGGGCGCCTGCTGTGGTGCAGCGGATAAAATGGCGGACGAGCACTCCGGCGTTCGAATCCCCGCTCAGCCAAAGAAACATAGGCCCGGGGAGGGGGGGATTGGTAAAATCACACCTTAAAAATATCTCAAATATGTGGCAAGCCCCTCCAGAGGGGTTGGGGGGGGGGGGGGATTGGTAAAACCACACCTTAAAAATATCTCAAATACGTGGCAAGCCCCTCCAGAGGGGATCTGACTTGAGAGCAGGTAACAGACCCGTTTGATCCAGAAATTACCGTATTTTTCGCTCCATAAGACACACCTTTCCATAAGACGCACCAATTTTTTAGAAGAAAACAGGAAAATATAATCTGTTTCCTTCGCTCCATAAGACGCACAGACTTTCAACCCCCCTGTTTTGTGGGGGAAAAGTGCGTCTTATGGTGCGAAAAATTGCTCTTTTAATCCTGAACTGACCAACGGGATGTTTTAGTTCTAAAGGACACGGAAAAGCTTCTCGCTCATGAATGGCCTGGAAAAAGTCCACAGAAATAGAAACAAGGACGTTTAAGGTTTCTCTCCTGTAGCAATAAATCCATTTTTTAATTTCCCAGAGCATTTACGGATTGTTTGACCCTCCCTTGAAGACCTTCGGCATTTTTTTTCCGCTTTGATGACTGCAACATTGTACTCCTGCTGGCTTTTATTTATTTATTCCTACCTTGGGGCCGCAGTTATTATTTTTATTCTGTTTGCTAACCTATGTTACGGTTCTTTTTTAACAATTGTATAGCCAAATAGAAAACATTGTTACCTAGGGCGGGTACAAACAATAAACACTGTTTTTTCCCCAGCCCGGGGTGTGTTAGGTTCAAACTTTCACTGTCCCTAAGCGGCACAAGGGAGCCTGGCAGGGGATGATGGGAGCTGTAGTTCAGCACCCTTGCAAGGTGAGGACTGGCAAGCAGCTAACGTTTGGGACAGGATTTTCCGATTTCTGGGACAAGAAATCCCATAATCCTCCGTTCTGTGAGTTCTCCCTGACAGACGAGAAACTTAAAACGTGGCTCGCCCTGAATGGTTTTGCTAGGCCTAGTTTCCTGTTCAGAAGCTCCCAGCAAGCACTGGGGCAGGAACAGGAAGCTTGGGCAGAGTTAGGCCTAGCTAGGTCTCAAAGCTTTCCCGGCCGAGGCCTTTTCTCCCAGGCGAGCCGCATTTAGAGGTCTTCTCTGTTAGGCAGAACTCCCGGAATGGGGGACAATGGGATTCGGAGTCCATTCAATCCGAAAAGCCCATCCCAAAAAACGACAAGGCCTCTAGAGTTCAAAATGGAGCCTCTCTGTTCAGGAGCAGTCTATCTCACAATTATAAGAAAGGCACATTCGGCATGAGATCCTGCAATCAAGTTCTTAAAATACTTACCCGTCAAAACAGGAGGTTCAAAGGGGGCAGAAACGGGAATAACTCACCTTCGCATACTGCTCTTTAAGAGGTCCGGACAGACGGAGGATAGCGCACACATCGGGACCCAGCCTGTGAGGAGAACAAGGCAGGAGGCACCCAGATGAAGCTGCTTCTACACCGGCGAACAAGTGACTCGGAGAGCAATACCCAACAAAGCCTCCGTCGCTAAGCATAGTCTATCTCAAAATTCCTGGGAGGCCTTGCTTTCTTCCAGGAAAGGAATGGCTGGGTGACCCTGAGCTCTTATATTTATTTTTTTATGAAAATGAACAGTGAATGACACTCTATTATGACACTCCATTACCCCTCTAACCCAGGTGGCTGGCTAGAACCTCCAGCTTCAGCAATAGTATATCTGATACCAAGGCTGCAGAGGACAAAGAGCATGGTGGGCAGCTGTTACCTTTCTGAGGGACTGACTTGAAGTAAATAGTGGTCTGATCCATTTTTTTTTAAATACCCCAGCCTCATCAACTCCACCCTCCTGTCACCACTGCAGGGTCGTTTTGTATCTTAATTATATCCTTCTGCCTCCAGCAGCTTGCAAATCATGCACCCCAATGACATGGGGGACTCCCCGTTTTATACCTTTCCAACTCTCACTGTTTTAAAAAAATAAGATCCTTTTTTTAACTCAAACCCTCCTCTTCTCTCGAGCGATATATTTTTCTTTTACTGCTTCGTTTGCGAAAAGCGAGAAAAACTCATTTATAACAAATCTAAAGACTCCCGCTTTCACCAACTTCTTAAGTAGGTCCTCAGAGCCCCTGAACTTTTGTTATTCTCAGATGCCGGCATGTATTTCTCTATTCAGCAGCACCTTGGCACATACTCCCGCCCTTTTAGATGGCTTCGGACTACAACTCCCATAATCCCCTCACCCTCGGCCATGGTGAACCGGAATCCAAATCCCATTAAGAGGGGCAAATGGGACCCCTTACTCTTGATGGAGCCCCTTTCAATGGGCAGTTGTGGGGAATCTGGAGAAATAATTCGCTCCCCCCTTTCCCGGGACACCATTTTGCCTCAGGCTCCACCCACCAAAGCCACCATTTTGTAACAACTAGTTCTCATATCCTTGCAAGCCACTGCCTCTGAGCATGTGCAGAGCGCTTCCATCACAACTCTCCCTCGAACCGCAGGCAGCTTGTGGGCCCGCCAGGTTTTGCTGGATTACAACTCCCATCAGTCCAGGCAGCATAAAGGATGCTGGGCGTCGGAGTCCGACAACCTCCTGAAAGTCGTGTGTCACATGCTTGCTTAATCAATCCCCCCCTTTTTCATCCATTTTTGTTTATTGCGCGTAAAAACACCCAATAATTGGGTGTTTTGGAGGGAAGGGAGGGCTAGTGCCCCAAACTTTTGGGTCAAAGGGCGCTCTGTACATGCTCAAGAGTACTAGGAGCAATTTGGCAGGCTTGGGGGCTCCAAGAACTGGTTTGGGGCTCTGGAAAAGAGTCATGAAATTTTAATTTTTAAAAAATATTAAACCTCTCCTGTGGCCCAGTGAAGATCAGAACCCCCAAGGCAGACCTTGGATTCCGGTGGCTTTTTCGTTCCCCCAGTATACACGCGCTACTGGTCTTACTGGTCAGACTGGTCCTGCCTGCCTCCCACTCCCCTAACCCTTGGTAGTCATCTTCTGCGATTCAACGCGGGCTGCCTTTTGCAAACCCTCCGCCCCTCTGCTAGCTCCCTCCCCGACCCCTTCCCACTGTGCTCACGTGAACTGCGCAACGTGCGAATGGGACGAGGGGCGGGTCCCGAAACACGCAAGAACATCGCCGGCGCTCCAACTCCCCCCAGGAGTCTAGGCCTGGATAACTTCCCCTCCTTTTCCGTTCTCGTTAGCAAGGAAACGTCGGACGACGCGGGTTTCTTTCTCCCCCCCCCGCCCAGGACGCATTCAGACGTGCAAATGCAAACACGGAAGTTAAGAAATTTTTTTGGGAGGGTTGTTTTTCAAGGTGGAATGCGGGCGGCTGCACCCTTGAGCAGGAAAACCAGAAGCCACGTCGGGAGACTGCTCGGTGGGCAAGGTCCAGCTTGCACGTGTTGGGAGTGGGTGGTCTTGTGAACGCCACCGCGCCAACCCCCGTGTTGCGTGTACGGGTCAAATGTCCCACCCCTTCCTCATTTTTGCAACCCACCCACCCCACTTACCGGCTCTGAATCTCCTCCGCCACGAAATCCTTGCCCGATTTTCTCTTCCCGCTAAAGAGCAACACGAGTCTCGGCCCGCTCCTGGCCATGGCGGCGACCGGGCTCCCCCTCCCTCGCCGGCTTAATGGTCTCGCCCGGGACCGACCATTCCGACCGGGCCGCCCCCGCCTCGCTTCGCGCCAATGGGTGCGCCCGAGAGAGGCGCCACTTCCTGCTAGGTGGGCGGTACCATTTGGAAACAACCAGAAAGGAGGGGGGGAGGAAGAGAAGCCAACTCCCTCCCCAAAAGGCTGAATCATGGGGGGGTGAAAATAGTACGATCCAAAAAAAGGCGGAGCTTTTCTCAGAAGCCACGCCTCTCAGGTGGCCTACCTGCGCCCAGGTGTGCTGGAGANCGGAGCTTTTCTCAGAAGCCACGCCTCTCGGGTGGCTTACCTGCGCCCAGGTGTGCTGGAGAAGAGTTTATTATTTATTTATTTATTTATTTACAGTATTTTTTTAGCCACACCATTACCAGTGGCTTCTGGGTGGCGTACAACAATATTAAAAATTATTAAAAACATTAAATATAATGTTGCACGTGTCTGCCAACCTTCTCCAAACTAATTCTCCTAAATTAAGTGATATTAAAATATATAAACCCGCTGGAAATAGTTTAAATGATGACCCTGGAAAGCAAAATAGGCACAGACTTCTTTAAAAAAAAAACCTAATAAACCCATTAAGTGCATTTCTGCCCAGAAATAATCAATCCATTGAAATAATCCTCCAGAGGCCTTACTGCTGAAAAAAGAGAAACTTTGCATAGAATTGCAAGTATATTTCTTCACTGGATGCCTAGGGAATACTCCCGGGGTTTTGCATATATTTGCATCTGTATTTCCAAGGATGCATTTAATTTTTAAATGAATTTGTATACAACAACGGTTAATCATGCAAAACTACCTCAAACGGAGCTGCAGACATTGTAGACTTAAAGCATCCATGAATTTCTGGAGAGAGAAGTTATTTTATCACTTTATTATTGTTACTGTGTTGTTGGCCTGCTTGCGCGCCCCACGTTTCCGCCCGTAAATTCGCAGTGCGATAGAAAGCAATTTCTGTCTCCATTTCCCCCCCTCCTTTAGAGCCCTACGAGGCGGGACAGGCAGTGAGGGTCACCCACTATTAAGTGAGAACTCGAATCCAGATCTATCTGACGAGTCCACGTAGATAGATTTATTTCTTGCAATTTTGTAATTTTTATTTTGCCATTCTCTAATCGTCGTGACGGTCAATATAATCTTGTGCCGTTCAACAAACACAGAAGGCTTTTTTTCCACCGTGTCAAACCAGGCCGCTGAGGCGGAAAAACTCATATTTCATGGATTTTCAGACAGCCCCTTTCACATCTGATGCAAGACGAAAAAAATCAGCCTCCTGCAAGGTTTCAGGACATTTCTCCCGCAAGGAAACCAGACACCATTAAAAAAAAAAGCAAACAACACAAAAAATGCACAACCTACAACTCCCATCATCCCCACGTAAGAGGCCTGGGGCTGATGGGAGCTAGAGTCTGGGATGCTCCAGAAGGCCACAGGCTTGGCATCTGTGGTGGAAGCCACCCATCGGGTGCTCTCCGATGGCTGCTACCGAGCTTCACACTCTTAAAGTACCGGGTTTGGGGTACAGGAGCGGACGTGGAAGAAAAATGGATTTAACGCAAGACGATCTTCCAGGAAGGTCTCTGTGTGTCGCAATTACGCTACTCGATCCGCTAAAGAATACCCCTCGGTCTCTCGGGATGTGAATGGGGTTTGCTCCGTCCCTCTTGGTACCCCAGGGGTACCCCCATCCGGTCCCCCCCCCATCTTAGCCCCGGACCCGGTTCGCTCTGCCATTCTTGGGCCCAAATCCCTCACTTTTCAGCTCCTTGGCGTGCTGCCGGCTGCCGTCTCGGTGAGGAAATCTGTAGAAAAAGAAGTTGGAAACGTCACAAGATTAAGGATGAGCAGAAGCCAGGCCTCGGGAGACTTTGGTGATAGCACACCATCTGTCTCAAACCCCAGGGCAAAAACTTCCTTCTCTCTTCAGTTGATCCTCAGGCGTGTTCTTGAGGACTAGCACCTTTGCTCCCTTACAGAACCCTACCACCATTAAAAAAATAAAATAAATTAAAATCCACTTTCTTACAATACTTTAACCATCCCATGAATTTTATCAGGTTCGAGAGGGTCCAAAAGATATCTGAATTCCGCGCTACGTAAATTTACAGGGATCAAACAAGGGGGTGGACATCACCCGCTCCCCATAAAGTCTAACGTGCGTTTTTTGCTTCCCACTTTCTGCAGCTTCACAAATCTTCCGAAACAGGCTGTTCCCTTTCAAAACACGCTCTCTATTTCATGAAAAAGAAAATGCAGAATATATCATCTCCATCACTGGCATCCAACGTTAATTTGGATGCACAGAAGACATCTTTTTTTTTTTTAAAAGAGGACTGACTAGGAAAAATCGACACCAAGGGAATTTATTAACATATATATTGCATTGTAGGCAAGACGGAGCATTCTGATTCTGGCAGGTGATGAATAGAAGCTTGTTTTCTCCCTTTGAAAAGATCTCCCAACAAATGTTCGTGAACTTACTCCTGCGCACACTTTTGAAACACACCTACCCACCCCCAAAAATCTGCTATCTGAATCAGCCCCTCACTCTGGCCAACAATGCGTTCCTTAAAAACAAAGTGCGAATTAATGGAGGGGCACCCTCCTTGTCTGCTGATCCTTGAAAGCACTTTTGTAACTTAAGACGGACTTTGGACGGTGTACCGAACTTTGTAAACACCGTATTTCCGCGGAGCACCGATCTGGAAAGTCAATGGCCCTTTCAGGAATCTGGATTCGACATTTTCTGGTGTCCCCTCAACCCAGATTTCTTTCTGGGCCTCATTCTCAATACAGTAGGACCACTCCCCCATACCTGCAGGATCAGGATCTCCTGATGAATTTATCCGCTGCCTGAAAATACTAAATAAAAAACCCCAGAAATATCAATTTATGTGTATTTCCTGTGTCTGAGTGCTCGATACATCCACATTATTGAAACGAATTCCTCTGCGGATCACACTGTTCTACTGTATCTTCCTTACATTTTCCTGCAGATATGACATCTCTGAAGCCTGTTTCGCCTCTCCCCCCTGCACCCCTCCCCATAGGACGCAGACATCCTTCACGGTTCTCACCTGGCCCCCACCTGCTTCAAGATCACCTCTTCGAAATCGTCCGGATCTTCCCGGCTGCGCCCCAGGGACCTCGCCAGCTCCTCCAGGGCGTCCTCGACCTCGTCCAGAAAATCCACGAAGCTGACGCGGTCGTGGGCGAACGCCCCGTTGCTCCCGAAAAAGCCGCTCAGGGCCTCCGCCAGGCCCCCGTAGTGCTCCGCCCAGCCCAGCTCGGACAGGTAGCTCTGGACCAGCCTCAGGAAGGCAGCTTTCTCGACCGGCGCCAGCCCTTCCCGCTGGGCGCACTCCATGACCCCGACACAGCCCTGGGGGGCCCGGTAGGGATGCTTGGCCAACGTCTCCCACAGCGTGCTGGGCTCCGTGGGTTTCTTCACCTTCCGGACGCCGCGCGGAGGCTCCCAGTCCTTGACCGGTTTGGTCTCTCTCTCGCTGTGATATTTTTTGGGGCGCCGAGGCTCCTCGCTCATCCTCTTGTGCATTTTGTGTCTTTCGGGGGGCTCATGGCGATACCCTTCCGGGCCGCCGGATCTCTGCGGCCAGGCCTTCTCCTTTTTCCTTTTTGTGCCGTCCCTCCATGGCGGTTTGGGGCCCTCCTCTTCGCCCTCCACCACCTGAGCCAGCCTTTGCCCCACGCCGCTCAGCTCCGCCCGGAGACCCTCGGCTCCTTCGCCCGGTGGGACTTTCTGGGAGGCTCTGGCCACGTCCTGGACGACCGAGGCCAACACAGCGCGCAGCCGGCGGATTTCAGCCTCCTGGCTCTCTGGCTTAGGCCAGGGGCGGTCCGGGGGCGGTTCAGCGTCCGTCCCAGCGTCCCTAGGATGCTTCAGCTTGTCCTGCAGACGTCGGAGCTCAGCCTGAGCAGCTGTCAGAGACGCCGTCTCCCGCCGTAGCGCTTCCACCAGTCGGGCATTCTCGGCCGCCAGCGCCTGCTGCTGGGAGGTGAACTCCATCGCCTCGCCTTCCGTCTTGCGCAGGAGAGCCTGCAGCTCCTCTTTCTGGGCCTGCCGAGGAACGGGAGTGTGTTAAACGCGAGAATCCAAACGTGGAAGAGAGAAAAATCTCCTTCGCCTGGCCCAGAATCACAAGAACGCGGATAAGGACACGGTGCATCGAAGGAAGGAAGTGTATCACGCCACTGCAAAAGGTTAGGGTCCCTGCATTTACGGCAGAAATCCATTCCAAGGACGGATTCTGAAAACAGTGGATAATAGCAAACGTGACACACAGTCTGGTCTCTGGATCTCTCTACTGGCCAGTTCTGGAAATGTCATCATTAGAAACACTATATATGTTCGGATTTTTTTTCTTTTAATATTTTCAGACTGCAGGTAAGTGAATCAGCGGATACCGATCCAGCGGAGAAGGGGGTCCAATTGTATTTTTGGGGAGCAGGCCACGCCGGGGACCTCCTCCCTGCCAAGCTGGCGTGGTAACCCGGGATGACCGCCCCTCGGACCCGGAGGGACGGCGCTCACCTGCAGTGCCGCCTGCATCAGCCGGATGTCCTGGTTCTCCTTGGCCAGCTTGTCTAAGAGGAGCCCCATGGCATCAAGGCTCTGGGGGCCTTTGGCCGCATCCGTCGGTAACTGGGCGTCTTCTTTGGCCCGCTGCGGGCCGGCATCTCCGGAGGGCTCAGGTGGAGGGGGTGCCGGCCAGTGCTGCAGTTTGGGGAATGGGGGAGAACGGACTAAGCACCGCCTCCTTTCGGGAATGCCAGGATTCGAACTCGAAGCTCAGAGGATTTTGGGTGGCCGTAGTCTCCTCCACCCAAAGCCCAATCCCCCGAGCTCTGCTTTGTCTTCTCCTTCTCTCCGTTCTATCCACCGGCAGGCAGCTTGGCAGTCAACAAGGGGATCAGGGAGAAGGCAGTACCGCCTACTGGTCACCCCCACCCCCCAGCTTGAGGCTGACAGCCCGGCCTCACTTTCACCCGGCACCCGGCTAAGAAACGCACAACCCACTCACCCTCCCATCGGTGGCAGGGTAGAGTTCATCACCCTCCGCTTTTGGCCAAGGGCTTGAAACGTCCGCCGGGACCTCTGGAAAGAAGACGCAAGTAATGCAGAAGTGAAATGAAAAACAAGAAGCTGAGTCTGAAATGGTAAGTCACCAAGGGGGCTGGGTCCACTTTTAGTTTTTTTGGACCCATGGACCTGATATTCAAAAGAATTTTTAAGGAAACTAAAACGAGTACAGTAGGAACCCTGTATCCGCGGAGGATCGGATCCAAGCTTCTCCGCGGATACTAAAAACGCAGATGATAGCAAACACACTTTAAAAGTGAATGCTATACATAGGGGCCAGTTCTGGTAGCTTCCTCTTTAGAAATATATATTTCTAGGCTTTGTCTTTTAATAGTTTCAGACTGTGGATAAGTGAATCAGCGGATATGGATCCCGTAGATACAGGGGGACCTATCATATTATACTCCCAGAAATGTGATTTTCTTACAGTCAGGCTTCCACTCACCAAATGCCTCATTTTGAAAAAGGCATTATAAACCGCTTGTGTTTAGAGATCAAAGCATGTTAGGGTTGGAAGGATGTAATTCCGGCACTCCTTTCCGCGTCTGAGAAATCAGACTTCAACCAAGTCTCAAAGACAGATCACAGAACAAAAGAAGCTGGTTTGTGAATTAAAGGAGGGAGATTCAAACTTTCGCTGTGCACTCAGATGCTTTTCAACCGTTAAGGAATTCACTCTTCTAGACATGGGCTATCTAGAATGTATTTTCCTTTTCCTGGGAAGGAAGACAGCTACCTTGGGGAGACTCCCAATGACACAGCGGGAGGGGATTATGGGCTCTGTAGTTTGAGAGAACAACATTTCCGACACCTTCTTTCTAGGCAGGCGTCTGGTAATGGGGGAAGCGCAGAGCGACACGAGAAACTCACCATCGTCGGTGTCTAAGATGACCCCTGTCGAAAAGAAACAAAGAGTGAACG